AAGACCCTGCCGACTCCTTCAACACTGCTTGAGACAATTTCACACGAATGTAAATGTACCCATCCCCCCCTTACTCCAACCTAATGCGCACAGGGAAGGGAACACATTGGAAAATAGTGGAAATGCTTTTAGTTATGCTTATCTGATGGACAGAAGACAAGGGTCTACATTACAATCAAGCTCTAATGCATTGCATTACACATGCCACATCCTCAAATGACTTCTGGTCATGTCCCAGTGGCTACCCTGAAAGACTGCAACTGTAGCTCGGTGTTTGTGGATTTTCCTATTACAAGACTGTCCCAGCTATTTATTTTTCAGTTTGGTTTATTGCTCGTTCTTAAAGGCTCAATTCTAGAGTGATTGCTGACTATAGTTCTTGAAGCCTATACCAATATGTCTTGTAATGCTCTCCAGTGAATGTCTTATTTGGAGCTTAACAGTCTGACATTCAGGAACTGATGGTGGTAAATGGCACGATTAGTGTAATCTTCTCAACATATGTTTACATCATCATAAAAATGATTTTTCTAATCTGAAAAGAATCTCATGTTTCAGGATTCAAATCAAGAAAAGACTGTGTTGCACCTGCTTAGAAATGGTAAGCTTCCTCATAATGCCTGTGTCAATTTACAATGTTCATTTTATGCTCATAATTAATAACAGATGTTCAGTTTGTAGTCCCACAATTTTTGAACCACTGATTCCTTATTTCGGTAGCACTTTAGTTGGGGGACCAATTCTCACTATTAACTAACTATTAACTACGACCTTTGCCTCAATAAACTCCTAATTTGCTGCTTATAGTTAGTAAGGTCGTTGTTAAATTTAGGTGTAGGATTAAAGGATCTAAAATGGTCAGGCAGAATAAGGCATTAATATGTGCTTTAGCAGTAACATGCATGCTAATAAGCAGCTAGTTAATAGTAAGAATTGGTCCCTAAACTAAAGTGTTAGCCCTATTTCTAATTATTATTATTATTATTATTATTATTATTATTATTTGGATTTATGAATAAAATAAGATCTGTATTACCATTACCTGAAGAGTCTTTCACATTTTCTTTTACTCCATAAAAGATGGTGTTACATTGTCAAATAAGATTCTTAGTCAAATTAACTTTAAAATTGTTATTATAGGGGTCATATGATGCGATTTCATTTTTTCCTTTCTCTTTGGTCATTATAATCAGTAATTATGTCCCCACTGGATGCAACAAATGCCTCGTTTGCAATGGGTTTTAATGTTTTTGTCTCGTCGGTCCAGCCGGACAGGGTATCACAGTATGGTGAGGGGCGTAACATTTCCGTCTCACGCTTGAGGTATTCGGCCAATCACAACGCACTGGATAGCTGGCCAATCAGAGCACACCTCGTTTTTTCAGACCAATGAGTTTTGTAAAAATCGACGCGTTTCAAAAAGGCGGGGCATAGAGGAGAAACAATAATGTACAGTATGGAAAATAATGTGTTTTTTTTTTTACTTTAAACCGCATAAACACATTTCATTACACCAAATACACAAAATAATGTTCTTTTTAGCAGCATCATATGACCCCTTTAATATTACTATTATTATTAAAATTATTTTAACCAGGGTCTCATCTGGTGTAATTATTATTATTATTATTATTATTATTACACACATTTTTTATATAGTGGTTAAAAAAATTGTAACTCATGTTGTGAATGTCTCGTCAAGTATTGTTAACCACTGACATTATTTTACTCATGTATCCAAAACCAATATTTTAAAAAGCCATTAGAAATTCCTGAGGGAAAACTATCGCGAATTATCCTTCCGGTTTGACATCATAACTGAAGGGCTCTATTGCAATAAAGAATAATTTGCAGTCTGTGAACAGCATGACATAATTAGTGCCTCCTCAGCGTCATGAAAATGATGCCCTGAACTATACAGAGCCAAATAGACACAAGTTGGAAATATATGATCCTATAACAGAAGTTTAAGGATATAATACTTCATCATTCATTGACATTATTCAATAACTATGCATTTAGAGCGAATATGAGCGAGTTTAAATGGAGCTATTCCTGCAATTTTCATTTACACTATGGTCCAAACCAGGCCATGTCATCAAGGCAGCAATGTTAAAATACAGATTCCTCATAAATGATTAATTCCATGATTTTAAATGAGGGCCACAGGCCAGTATTGGGATGCAACATTCTTTCAACTATGCTTTTGAAAGACAAATGAACAGCAGGGATATAGTAAGGCCCATTGTGAATACGTCTGAAGACACATCTTTTGCATTTGATTGTGTTTACAGTAATCATACTTTCATGAATTCTCTATCATGTACCTTTAAAAGCCAAAGAGCGAACAGAGCTTGAGACTTTGGAAGAGGAATCATAATGCTCAGACTGAGTACGCTGCACATCTGACAAAATAATGTAGTATGTTGTAAGTAGTTATAGTAAACATTTGGGATATAAATACATAAGTGAATATAATGTCATGATATGTAATGGGAAGCCCCATTAAAATGCTGTCTTAACATAATCTTGTATTGAGTAATGACTTTGAATTTTCAAAGCCTAAATGAGGAAATAATTACTTTGCTGAAATTAGAAAGAACTCTGGGGAACTCATAAAATGGAATCAAGATACAGGTCCATCAAAAAGGAAGAGGAATAGGAAAGGAATAAAACACACAAACACACACAAAACTGATTAATATTATGTACAGTAATCATGAAGTTTCTAAGAGAAAAAATATATCCTTTAAAATGTATTGTACCTGTTTTATGATCTTTTTCCAGATGCCAAAGAAGACCAAAACAGCTGATTCATTCTAGCCCCTTTCACAGGAGACAGGTACTCTAAATTAGATTGTATTCTCATCTCAAACAACATCCGTGCTGATGACGACACATAAACACAGAGCAAAGCTTTCCCCAGAAAGCATGCATGTCATCTCACGCCTCACCATAAGTGCCTGAGGAACTCACACCTTGTGTATTAAAACACCTCCGGTTTCACACGTGTAGTGACTGGGCCTGTTACCAATGCAATGTTTTGACGTGGAGGGACGAGCCATTGAACCATGCAACTATTGAGTACAAAGCTGGAGGTTCCCAAGGGAGCTTTGGCCCACTTTTCTTGTCAAAAGATAATAGCTAACTGAGCAGAAGAGGGGACATCGAACATATTAGTTTCTGAGCATCCTGTTTAGTGTTCCTCTCTGAAAAAATCCCATACCCACAAGATGGTGCCCAAACTGCTATTTACAAATGAATTTGAATAAATTCACTTAGTCCCACATTCTATTAGGTATCTTTAACTATTACGCACAGCACATTGTTTTTCAAATTTATTACAAGTGTACATGTTGGATACTTATGTGTTGTTGTGCTGTACTTTAGAGTGAAAACACATAACATTTGCAAGTTTTTGTTTTAGATAGTGACAGTAAAGACTACAAACGATGCAGAGAAGAGTGAGGTAGTGGATGGCTACATGGTAGTGAACTGCTTGCAAGGTTTGCATGCAGTATTCATACACTATTCAAAGACAGTCCTGTGGTGACCCTAACCATGATGCTTACCTTAACCTTTGTAGGTGCAAATGTGACTCTAGCTGTGTTCACAATATGTTATATTTACATCAAATGCTTGAAAATAATATGTTAGTTTAATTTAAAAGCAGGAATGCAAAGCTTTTTATTTTTATAACAGCATTTATAACTGCACATTAATTCTTCCCTTAAAACGTGAATTTATTTGTAAATTTGATCTGTAAAGCAGTTTGTCTTTTTTTGTTTGTTTATGGCATTGCGTTGTCATGGCAAAGTAATTTTCACAATGAAATTGTGTTAACGTGCATATTATTCACATCTTTTTTTAAATTTGGTTGTACGTACCGTAGGCTACATACATACACATAATATACTTCACTTAATATAAATCATAGCTATTTTCTGTTTAATTACTGGGAAAAAGAGGCTTTTTAAAATTCTGACTATTTTCTTATTTTTGTTATTTATTCTTTTGGTGATTCTTTATTTATTAAGCATTTTAGATTTATAACTATTTACAGCAGAGCCCAAGATCCACCTATATTCATACGATACAAAAAAAAATGGAAAGAGTTGTAACAAAGATTGTATGCCAGAAGAATACAACTATGACCAAAACAAAATCAGAGGGATGAGTATTATTTTTTTATCGGCAGCAATTTTTATTTATTTATTTATTTGTAGGTTGTGATTCAATAGCAACAAGATCTCACAGGTTTCTCTCATTAGGAGTCGTAAAAGAAAAGTGGAGATATAACGCTTTCAACAGGAAACAGAAATGTCACTCTGCTCCACACATGTACACTATTCCAGACCATCTTTTAGTCTTGGTGTTGCTTGGCGACAAACACAGCTTGACATTTCTTTTGGAAATAATTTAGTTGGTGGAAAAAAAATATACTGACTAATCAGTTTGGAACTTAAGTTTTTTTTTTATATTAATTGCTGTACTTGTTTAACGAATTGTTCTGTATAAGCATTTCAGCAGCACTGAATATCAGCATTACTGTTTTTACCTGTGGGCTTCTGCCTACGGCCAAATCACAGCCATGCTGATGTTGTTCTTCCATATTACTTAATATAAATGCACACTGGCAGTTTACATTACAGTGCCCATGTTACACGTATATGTTGCAAGTATAATTAAACGTTTAATTAAATAGCAATAGCCTATCATGGACTATTATCAAAAACAGATTTATAAAATAAATTACAAATAAACTGCATGCACTTAAATGACTCCTTAAATGACGATACTACCTATCAACAGGCACACTGTAATGTAAAGTGTGAGCAAAAGCGTTTATTCGTTGCGGACACGATCATCTGTATGTGGAGGTGCTAATAACGGTGATCGCTGTCCAAGGTGCTGCAGCGCTCTCGCCCCGCCCGTCTCCATCACACACTAACCGGGAGACACGTGACGCGATGTGCTGACAGTCCCTGGCAAAGCTCGCCTGAGAAACACATCGCACCTTGTCTTGCACACAGAACAGGGAGCGATATCTTCTGTTTTATATACACCGAAAAAGAAAAAAAACTAACATTTACATTGGAGAATTTCTTAAGCATGAACCGTTTTGTACTGAATCTTAATTGGTTGTTGGCTCCATTTTTATTTTTTTAAATTTTTTAAAAATCTATTGGGACTTGATCTATTGGAGATCCGCATACGCAATTTTATCGCTCCCATATCGTCTGCTCATTCGACACCGAGGCAGTGATTTTTTTATTTTTATTAATTTTTTGAATCAGATGGAAGCCTGAATCGATGTGGATGAAATCAACCAGATTCATCGGTGAGGTTATCCTCTCAAGGGGCGCACAATGGTCCATTTCTCAAGGTAAAATAATTAAGGATTGTGTAAATGTAATTCGAAGGCGTATTTGAGGTTATGAGCCGTTTTCGGTGAGAGTTATGGTTGTGCTTCACGCGCTCAATGCAGGTGAGATGATGCAGCTGGACTTCATTTCTGTGTAATTTCGCTCTATGGCCGATTCATTCGTGTTTACAGCTGGCCTTTGCTTCGTCTTAAGCGATATTTGATGACTCCCTATGTTCCCTATTCTCAGCGTCTGAAAGAGAGCGCGGTAGAGGCGTGTTAAAGGTGTCTTTCTCGCTCAGTTTGAGCAGATGGTGGTTGATTATTGGCTATGTTTTGCGCATCTGAGTCATCGCCAATTTTAATCAAAAGAAAGGAAAAATTGAGGAAACTTGTTATTGTTTCAAAGTAGATTTTAAATGGCAGCTATATGTTTTGTAGGATCCCGTTGTTGAAAGACTGTAAATCGCTATTAGGGTGGTTGTGGATTGCTCGATACTCCATCTACAGTAGCTACTGATAGCAAGGCATTACCGTAATCGTTTCGCAAGTACGGTAAATAAGACTGCCTTCTCTACATTAATCGCATATGATATGTTGTGTAAGATTCATCTGTGAAAGGGGTCGGTTGTTATCTTGCTAAGTAGCCCCGTGTAAACCTGACAGTAAACACATAGGAATTCAAGCATGAAATGATTGGTTGAGATCAGTTGACAGACAGCCCAGAGGCCAGACAATTGCAGTGTCATTAATGCTTAAGAGGCGCGCGATAAGCCCCCGCCCTGGGCTCATTTTGGGATGCAGGACTTGAACCGAGCGAGGTTCACTGAATCAAACGAGATTTCCCCATTACACAGTTTCGATGCTGCCGCCCTTTTGGACCTTTTGTCAGACTGCACATATCCTCCTGATGAAATAACTGTAAATATGATTGCCTGTACGTCTGACTCGGCTATAGGCTATACAAATATTCGTAATTATAATGGAAAAGAAGGCAAAATAGCACAGTAAAAACGTGATAAGTGGTTAACTGTAAGTTAACCTTACCTTACGATGTGATTTTATCATTTAAAACACAATCCAGTTGTAAAATATATTGTAACACTATTTGTTATACATAACAATATATACATAACTTTTTAATACATAAAAAAAGTGTAAATTAAATATTTTATGGAGATGATTTACATATATCTACATTTATTCAATGATATGTATCATTTCATTAAAACAAAGTTTCTAAAAATTCATTTTATTACTTTAAAATATGAATAGCCATAATTATGGGGAAATTGAAAGTTTTGTTGTATAGTATGCACATTGGAGGGTTTTATGTTGCATGTCATATTAATTAGTTAATATTTACTGCATTATTTTAGCGTGTGTGTTATTCTAATATTGTTTTGTGCTTTTGTGTTCACACTGTGCTCTGTCTTTGTATTATTATTGACACAGTTGCTGAAGAGACCAATTTTGATGACGTTTAAGCCGTCGTGTGGTCTTCCATTATTTTACCTGTGTTATTAGAATTTCTATTTACAGAAACAAAATGATTTTAAAATAGGTTGGCATATTAACCATATATATCAAATAATATATATAGCCTATAGTTTGGAAGTGTAAAATATATAATGACCAGAATGCTTCATGTAATAATATCTGTATTTTTACAGTAAAGTTTTTTTTTCCTGTACATGTCTTTATAATGAAAGAGAATCTCTTTAAAATAAAAACAAAATGGTATGGAATAGCCATAGTCCAATTCAAAATAAAATACATTTTCAATTGGATACCATTTTATACCATTTATTTTAGTTTAAGCTACTCTGATTTAACCCAGTATACCTCTGAAAATTATCGATTTATTTTTGCCTTTTTTGATTATTAAATCAGTGTATTTGATACTGGGGAAAAAAACAACAGCCGCATGATGAAATGCACTGGAGTTTTCTGGTTCATAAGCCATACATTCTAATCACTGAGAATTATAGTGAGAAAAGCAAATAAAAAGTACTGCTGTAATTGAATATTAATGTAATCAATATCAGTGTGAAATTAGTGGTTTCAATATCAATATCACTGTGAAATTGTGGTTTTGTGTATGAATGATTGTGTTGTGTGTATGCTATCTTTTTAAAAGTAGCCATCTTCTCTTTCGTTTCCTATGAAGAAATTAAGATATTCTTTTTCATTCTTTTCAGATTATGGATCAATATGTCAAAACGGATGTGAATTGAAGGTTTGTGAACACTGAGGGCCCTATTCGGGCCTGCATGTTAACTTTGCAAAGTGTACTTTTTGTCTACTTTTGATTAGTGCTGACTTTAGGCCTACACAATGACTTTTAACTAGACTTAAAAGACCCTGACATTAATGACCCTGTATACCTCTAATGGACTATCTGCTGTACAGCACTACACATGGCTGCAATTTATAGATACTTTGATGACTTGGCCCCACTGTAGCACATCTGGATCTCACTGAAGATTTTTTTAAGCTAAACAGTAGCCTTATTTTTTATTTTAGTAGACCAGTATTTGGGCCTTAGCGACACCCTTTATTGTTCTGATTTGTATATTTAGATTTTGAAAAAGAGTTGGCCGAAACACAGGCCTTCTCCCTTTCTCAGTGAACAATGAGTAAATTACCTCAAATGCATAGCAGTCCTGTATGTTATAGGGAGCTCTGTTACACTTTAGGAGCACATCACTAAGAGAGCTGAATCATTTTAGTTTTCGATTAGTTCTATTGTTAGTTCTAACTTCCTTTACCATTCACAATGAGCTTCTCAATGCGGAACGGCGCACATCTAATCTGGATAGGCTTACTGGTTTGTTGCCTTGTCGACATGGGGGCCAGTATGGAGTTCACCGGCGCAGAAGGCCAGTGGGCACGGTTTCCTATGTGGAACGCCTGCTGTGAAAGCGAAATGAGTTTCAACATGAAGACCAAAAGCGCTCATGGACTTTTAGTTTACTTTGACGACGAGGGATTCTGTGACTTCTTGGAACTGCTCATCCACAACGGTAGACTCAGTTTGCGGTTCTCCATCTTCTGCGCCGAGCCGGCGACGGTGCTGTCCGATACCGCCGTCAATGACAGCCGCTGGCACGCCGTGACCTTGCGCAGGAATTTCAAAAACACTATGTTAGTTGTGGACGAAGAGATCAAGTGGGTGGAGGTTAAGTCGAAAAGGAGGGACATGACGGTCTTCAGTCATTTATTCTTAGGAGGGTTACCTCCTGAACTGCGATCTGTAGCATTACGCCTCACGTCTTCAGCCATCAAAGATCAGGTCCCCTACAAAGGATGGATAACCAATCTGAGGGTGAACAGTTCCGAGCCGCCGCTTATCGGTAGCGAGGGAGTCAACAACGACATTTGCGAAGCTGACCACATTTGCCTGAACGGAGGAGTCTGCAGCATCGTCAACGACGAGCCCATTTGCGACTGCTCCAAAACGGGATTCCAGGGAAAAGACTGCAGTGAAGGTAAGAGGCCTGGATTCGTCATCTCCGTTTTTGAGGTGTTGAAATGTCTTTTCAAACACAGCCTTTTCACTTCTTTTTTCGTTTTAACATTGCAAGAGTTCCTCAGAGGCAGTGCATGCTACATCATGTCTGTTCCCGGCCTCCACTATGGGCCCAGTACATTACATGATTAGATTACCACTGATCTCGGTCGGAGAAAGCCGTTGATCTGAAGGAGATCATTTAAATAGGCTTTAGTGCCATCTGTGTCAATTCCGGAGCATCCACGAAAGCCTGTGCTTTTGATAGCATGACGTCAGCAGAGGCTTCTTGCTATTTTTTTATGCTAAATTAACTTAATATACTCTTGACACTGCACTGGCATTACAATTAAGTACAAAAATGATGAGTTGAATACATGCACACAAGCCCATGATTGAAGTATGATGATTTTAATATTATTCTCCGTCTGAATTTAAGGGGTTGGATGCTCTAATTATATAATTAGCCAGATGTTTCATAGAGTCACTGTAATGACTTAGCCAAAGTTACAATTTCAATATCACAGGAAAAATAATGACATACTCAATACAGCATTCAGCAACCATCACAAAGCATTTTTTAATCCAGCTTTACAAGTAAACCTCCACTACTGCACTTACAGAGTTATTTTAATTACAGAAGTGGTTAAAGCGATTGATGATGTAACTAAATAGGGGGAGACCGTTTCTGATTCTATCTTTTGAAAACGGATGGTTGTACGCATATTACAACAATTCAGATTTTCAAGCAAAGTCTGTTCCCTTTTGAATATGTATGTTCTGGTTGGTTTCCTAGTTTGACTTACTCCCTTGGTGTCTGATTTCACTGTTTTTATGTTCTTTCCATCTTTTTCTTCATTTTTACAACTGTCTCTGTGGACTGATCTTGATGTTGATGGATATTGTCTGGGTTAGGCCGTAAGCCGAAGAGGCACCATGTTGCCAAGGAAACTACATACCCACTGAGTAAATTTTGCCCTCCTAAAGCACAACTGAGAGACAGTATGTTTCACTGACAAATGTTAAAACTAGAATAGCAGTCGTGTTGTGGTACGGTGTTCGCTGGGCTCTCAGCGAAATGCATCGTCTAGTGTATTTGATGAGATTATGACAAAAGGGCAGGGCCCTTCAGATGCTCAGCAGCTTGCTTAAAATCAAGATGCACCGCTCTCCAGCTCCTTTGCTGGTAGAAATGCGCATCTTTGCCGGGTGAGTCAGAACAGACCTGCCCACGTAGCTTTGAGTGTCCTCCGTCACACGCTTTTGGATGACACATAAGGATATGTGGAGATGGTGGAGGCCACGGGACGTGTCGCTCTGAATCATTAGTGTTATTTATTTAATATTGGATGATCTTGAGGCTAGCGGTGCTAGGCGTTGGCGCTGCCTGCTTTTTTTTTCCACTTTAGACTGCTTTTATGATTTTATTTGTCAGTGGAAAAATGAATTCTTTATCAGATTGGTTAGATAAAAAAAAATCTACCATGTATTTTATTAGATTAACTGAACTACACTTAAAAATAACGGAACCACTATTTTGAGTTCCCCATAGAACCTTTGATGAAAAATAACCTTTTTTTTTTGCAAATAATATTTACATCATCTAATAAAACTTTTTCCACTAAAAAGAACATTTTGTTCAATGGAATGGTTCCATGGATGTTAGAAGTTCTTCATGGAACCATAGATTCCAATTATTTTTCTGTCAGAATTGTGCAGATGACCTTTCATTACGTTTTGTTATTAGAACAAATCTCCAAAGGCACCATGCAGGACAGGAAAGCCATTATGAAGGCTTAATTCCTCGAATGAAATAGATATAGAGCCAACGTGGTGTTCATTAAAACAACAGCATCGTTTTAAACTCATCTTAGCCTAAATCTGTCCTTGCTTTGGTTATTAATGCAAATCTGGCCCGTGAAGCTCCTGCTGAGTGGAAAGCAGGCAACTTTTTGTCATTTTGTGTGTTGTCAGCTTCATGACTGAGGTGATCTGTCAGCTGACCGCTGTTGCCAATAAAACACTCAGACTCGTATTTTATGTGGATAAAAAAGGGATAGCTGCATATTAAATGGCTCATTGATGAATGACTAGCCTTTTCATTTAGATATATGTGCTGCTCGCTTTATCTCCATCGTCATGGAAAAATTTGCAGTGCGGTGAGAGCGTGTGTACGTGTTTGTAGATCTCAGGCAGGAAAGGGTGGTATGTGGATTAAATACGTCCTTTCTCTCCACACGTCCACTCCGTCATTCTCTCGACAGGCATTTGTGGTAATAACCTTCTTTAGCAAAGCAGGTGTGGGGCTCTCAGCAGGAGAGGCAGTCCGCACCGCAAAGAATAACAGAGCTACGGGTAATGAGATATTTTTGCCCTGCTGGGGTTAGAGAAAGGGCCTTATTTTGTGTTATTATGGTTAATGCTCTTACAAGTCTGAATTGGAAAGCCAAAAGGGTCTGCTCTGTATCAGCTTGCAGCCATTGATACCTTATCTTTATGCTCTATTAACTGTATAATGTGCTCCGTCTCCTTGGTTAAAGATGACTGTAAGGGATCTGCAATTGACGTGCGTGTGGTTTCATATGCTAGGAGACTTTGGTTGGAGAATTGGATTGTGTTGGAGGGCTTGTTTACAACAGCGATTAGATTGTTTCACCTCATCTCTTATCTTTTGTGGTGGAGCTAACGTTGTAAGGGTCGGTCCCTGGCTGTGCGCTGTGTCGTTTAATGATGCAGTCATGTTTTAAATGCATTTTTTACCTCTGCTTTGGACCTATGCAAATTCATTAAGGTGGTGTAGTGTAGTGTACGCCCATTAACCTCTTGCTAACGAAATAAAGGGCCTGCTTTAATTGGATACATCAGCATATTCATTTTAGTGACTCATTTAATCATGTCACCAGGGGCCTGTTTTGAAGATGACAAAAGATAGACTTTAAAAGGATAGTTCGACAAAAAAAATTAAATGTTGCCATTTACTTGATCCAATGTCGTTCCAAACCTGTACGACTTTTTCTTCTGCGAAACACGCAACATATTTTAAACCGTTTTTGTCCATGCAGTGGAAATCAATAGAGGCCCAAAACATTTGGACCTTGTTGATTTTCACTTTATGGACAATAACCTAACATGAATAAATCATTACATCATTTTTATTTTAGGTGAACTGTCTCTTTAAGTCAACAGTCATTTATGTCACCTGTACATTACAATACCTACATAAATTAAGCAAATATTTGCAAAGTGGAAAACTGGTTAATTCACTATAAGGCATGCCATTATAAAATCTCTTGACTAACGGATCCTGTTGACTTTCATTGTATGGACAAAAACTTATTTTGTGTTCCACAGAACAAAAAGAGTACATAAAAGTACATAAATTAAGCAAATACTATTAATCAAAAACAGGAAATGGATTAATTGAGTAAGACTTACCAGTATAAAAATCTATTGATTATTGGACCCCATTGATTCACTGTATGGAGAAAAAAACTGATTTTGTGCTCAACAGAACACAAAAGTTGTACAGGTTTGAACATAGATATGTATAGCTAGATGCCCTTTTAGCGGCTGTTTCTATGGGCCAATATACATAAGCCGTCCGCCATATTGGAATGTCAAAGCCGGTCCGTGAACACTCGAGAGCAAGGTGCCGGTGTATCTGCACTACGACTGTAGTTATACACACATGGATACCTGTATCTTCAGTAGACTTCAGAAGATGCTTTTGCTTAACTAACACAATACAAGAAGACGAAGCAATTAGCTAACAAGGCATTTAAAAGGTACTTTAGTTTTAAAAACCTGCAATATCGAGTTAATACATATTAAAAACCCAAACCAACACATTCTTACCTGTGAAAATGTATCCAGTTTCTTCAGGAATTTAAATTTAGGTGGTTTTTACAACCAGATGCTGTGGTATGTTGTTGCATCTTGAAATTCATTGATTTTTATTGTGAGTGACAACATATAGACCGTTCAAAGATGGCGGACGCGTTGACGTGTCTGGAGAGGTCGAATGTGACATCTACCATTCTAATTTGTTGAGATAGTGAATTGGTGGGTTTTTGTGAAATGTGAGCCAAAATCATCACAATTAAAAGAACCAAAGACTTAAACTACTTCAGTCTATGTGCATTGAATTTATTTAATACACGAGTTTCACAATTTGAGTTGAATTACTGAAATAAATTAAGTTTTCCACAACATTCTAATTTATTGAGATGCACCTGTATGGGTTTGAATAAATGGTGACAGAATTTTTATTTTGGGTAAACTGACCCTTAAGCCAAAAGACTGTGTAATCAGCACATTACAATGCCTACATAAATGAAGCAAATTCAAACAATGTAGGTCAAAAACATAAAATGAATTAGTCGCTCAAGTATAAAATCTTTTGACTATTATATTATGTATGGGTTCTCCCCATGTCTTGCAATTGACTTTCATCTTCCTTGATCCGGCAACAAAGCTAGATAATCTTGAATGGAGGGGGAGCCCGTGTCAAATACACTGTATATTGAGAATTCCCCTATCAGTGGCGGATGAACCCTTTCCAGATGGACTAAGCTCACTAATCTCTCTGTACTGTAGATGACTGCAATATGGAACATGCTGCACATTGCTCCCTGTGGGGTGAAGAGGATTTTAATCCTCTCCCATCACTGGCGCAATGACAAAGCGTTATATTTAGAAGATTTTACAATGAGTACTTTTGTTTTTTGCATATTTTCCAGTGGTTTCTGTTTGACTATGGGCAAAACTCACTAATATTTAGTCAAATGGGAGTTGGATGTTTCTTTAGGATATCAAATGCAGAGGAACCTGTATCGCGCATTCACCCCGTTTCAACCGGACGGTCATTATCAGAGTTTTTTGATGTTTTATTAAATCATTGTTGACAGCTACATCTTTAGTGACTTTGCCGCTGCGCTATGCGGAGTGTGCGCTCGTCATATGATCCCTTTGGGCAAGTTCCACGCGTGTGCGTTTGAGAGTAAAATGCTCTGACTTTCTGAAAACTGCTTTAAACGAGCATCTGGAGCTGCAGTCCTGTTTGTAAAGGGCTGCATGAGTGCGGGCGTCACATCGTGTTTGCCCCCTGCCTGCGCTGGCCCATGCCGGAGTAAGGGTGAGCGTGTAGGTCATCCTCAATTTCTATCTCTTATTCTCTGCCAAATTCAGGGCAGTATGCAAGGCCAGCACTTAAAATAAGCTGTCAGCTCAATGAAAGCCTGCATGTCTCTTGCTCCATGTGAGCTCTGCAGTGCTAAGGAGAGGCTACATGATCCTGATCTGTCAGTCAGTGAAATGTAAATACAGCCGCTGTTCGGTCAGCCGGCCTCTGAGAAGACCAGGCGGAGCGTATATGTGTGGTGATCTTCCAAAATGGCTGCTGCTTCCACACACACAAATACTGTATATCTATATTTCGGCCTTGGTCTGGCAGGTTTTGTAAGAGAGAACGTGACACACATGTCTCTGCAGTATGCAGGATGGGCTGAAGCACAAAATCAATAGAGTGGGTCCTTTAAACTGCTGTATAGTCAGTGTAGATGGCTAGTTAGTGTTTTGCGATGGTTTAAGCTAATTAAACTGTTGTTTTTGTAGCATTATTTTCATCCCTCCAAGCTGTTTTTTGTCAGTGGGATGAGTTTACACATTTGTCAAAGCAAGTAGGGTTTGTCAGTCTCTTCATAAGCTGATAAGAGAGGATAGAAAATCACCATTCATCACTGCAACACTAACAGCAAAATATTTCTTTGTCATATTTTCTGGCATGGCATGCTTTTCTGTTTATTTTTTTCTCTTTTGTTTTGTTTATTCATACATTCATCAGCATTTTTGTTTTCGTGGCAGTAGTGGTGCATGCAATTTGTGTTTGGTCGGGTGGAGGAACCTGCTGCGGTAAGTCCCGGGTCATTATTCTCCTCCACAAGATGCAAAACACGGAGGTACGATTGGATGCTTTAACTTTAAGATAGCCAAGTCCATTTTTAGGGAGTCTTGGGTGAGTTGATCCAGGGACTGAAAGTGTCAACAGAAGTAAAAGGTGTGTTGAATGAATGCATGAATGAAGGTAATGTAACCTTTTTGTTTTAGAACAGAAAAAAAGGTCATTTAAAAAATGAAAATTTCAACGTAAAGGGGGTAATAACATGACATGCATATGCATATTCAGGTATTGTACATTTCTTTATTACTGACCTGATTGAATGATGTTGTTTTCTCTTAGTAGGTTCACGTTGCATCATCTGCCGGCGTTTTTATTTCCGAACACATGCATGCTTCACATCTAGCCCCTGTAAATTCCCCTCACACGCAACCATGAATGCCATTCAAAATTATAAATATTAATTCAAAATATACAAATTGTTTTGAACAGTCCTTCAAAGCACATAAAAAAAATCCCTAATTTTTTTCTTTGCTTTGCTTTCTGTAAAACAACTTCTGTGAAGTAAAATTGTAGCTGTTAGGGGTCCCACCATTTTTCTCAGTCTTCCAGTTTACTTTAAATTACGATGTACATGTTTGTGCATGGTCATTGATATACTGTGAAGAGTCAATTTCACCATGTGCTTTATCAGCTTTTGAATGACTTAATAATGTGTTATCATCATCTCACCATGGAACAACACTCTTTCAGAGTACTAAGACTCAATGAGATTAGATCTTGAGGAGGACAGAGGACACTTAAAGTCATATAAACCCTCTAGTCTGCACATTTTCCATGGTAATGAATGTTTGGCCTGGGCACAGGATGATAAGATGCATGGTAACCACGGTAATCCTCAAGGCTGGGCCACCTTCCAGTCTGCATGCTTCTTAATCAATGTCTCCTTCTCTCTCTTCACGCCTCGGCCGCCCCTCCAGAAGAGGCCTATGTAGGAGGTGGGTAGATGTTTTTTCTTTCCTATTTTCTTTTCATCCGACCCCTGTCCCCTACTCATGTACTTCTTCTCTCTGTCTTCATATTTCAACCCGTTCTTTTAGAAATATTCAGTTTTTCCTATTTATTTGAATACGGTACACAAACAGTAAGTGGAACTGGTGTATAACACAGGTAAAAGGTATGCAACTTCATTCAGCTTTATTATCGAGAGCACTTCCTTAATTAGAGGTTGTCAGTAAACACATGGTTCACTCAAATCCATGTGCTCTGCTAAGCAGAAACCAGAGACTGGAGCCAAATGGATGCCAACCTGTTTAAATTCCCTCTAAAGATACAGACACATGACTTTAGCTCCTAATATGAGCTTCTGAAACCTTATATAGTGAATACATGACATGGAAATTCACATACATGCACAATGAAGCCTTCACTGCAATGGAAAACCTGGACAGACTTTGACAGGTAAGTACCATAGACAAATGACAAACTCTCCTATTTCTTACTAACAATTCGAAATACAGTTTATAGTTGAGGCAAAAACATGCGTTCTCGATTCAGATTCATTCTTTTGGAGGTATTACTATATTTTTTGTCTGTGGCTCACAGGAACCTAAACAGGCATCCTATGAAAGATGAAATGGATAGTATTGATTTATCCCAATATAAGCTGTAGATATTTTGTTATTGTATTGACACATTTTTGTGTGCAAAAACTTAATTTTGTTAAGATCCAATCTGTGTATATGTCATCATCTTCCTGTGGAAGGCTGACCAGGTGGACGGCATGTTTGATGTATGGTGACAGCGAAGAGATTTTTTTTCTTTTCCAATCTAGATTTGTCTCTTTCGAGTGTGACCAATAAAGCATTGCAACCGCTGGGTTGAGGAAATGCTTTTTGAATGTTCCCTCACACCCACTCTCTCCCTCACCTCTTGACCCCACCCCACCCCAACCCCCCTTTTGTCTCTTTCGAGTGTGACCAATAAAGCATTGCAACCGCTGGGTTGAGGAAATGCTTTTTGAATGTTCCCTCACACCCACTCTCTCCCTCACCTCTTGACCCCAACCCCCCTCCCCCACCCCACACTGCGGGCATCCTCTGTTCAGACGATGCCTGCATGTCAATGTGACAGAAAACCTTCCCATGATCCCGTTCTCTGTGCTGACTGTGCTCTTGTCTTCCCTTAAGGTCTTGCGCACCTGATGATGGGCGACCAAGGTATGGGTTTACTTTCTTACTCCCCTTTTTGCCTCCATCAGCCACTCCCTCCTCCATCTCTCAGCCCCTCTCTCTCTCACTGCCTTGTGCTGAATCCTCCTCGTCTCCATTCACTGCTGGTAGGGATTTACTGGGGCTGCTTTCTTTCTGGCTTGGCGCTGAGTCAGTGGATGGTTTGGTCTTTTCCATTTTTTCCCCACCCTCTCCTCTGTCTCTCCTTCGCTCTCTCTCTCTCTCTCTCTGTCTTTTCGCTTTAACTTCCCCTCAATCCATCATGCCGCTTCTTTTGCGCTTTAGTTTTTTTCTCCGTCATTCTCTCAACAGCCCCACTATTCCATTGCTGCTTGCCAACTTCATTTTCATATAGAGGGGGAAAAATACTTTCAACCCAGTGGATGATGTGAGTTACAGGGACTTCTCTCAGGGGTTTGTTCACTCTTTGTAAATGTGCTAGTCTGTATTCTCGAGCTCCGAAACTGGAAAGCATTAGCCGTCTGTTCGTTATTCATGCATCGTCATGTTCTGGCATGTATCACGATAGGATGCTTCCATCTCCTCTTGGCTGCCCTCTCTCTTTTTGTCTGCAATGCATGGAGTCTCTTCTGAACGTAACCTTTCATTTTTCTGTCTCTGAATCTAACACGCGGCCATGATTCTGACTGTTGCCTCTTTCCTCTCCTTTGTATTTTCCTGTATCTCTCTGGACTTTCTCTTCATGGAACCATTATATCAATATCATAGGGAAAAGGAAAGGTATATAATGCTTCTTTCATACTATGTAATGATGTAGTTTAACTTGAGCTCTTTAAGCTCTCCATGTATATTCCTGTACCTGTGGCTATACACATGCATCTGTTTATTCATGTGTTTGTGGTACTGAAGTCACACTGATTTTTCTGTGTCACTCCCTATAAATATGACGAGGGGCTGGAAGGTAGGTGAGATGTCATGAAAATGGGAATGCGTCATTGTGCAGTGTGTCAACGAATGTAATGTAGGTTTAGGAAGGAAAACAGCACATTTTAATTAGTCTGCTAGTAATATTTAGTTGTATAGAAAATCAATGCACAGAAAATGTAGATGCATTATTATTGGCAACACAAAATGTATTAATTCCTAAAGGCAATTAACAATTTGTCATAATCTACAGTATTACAAAATAATAATATTAAAGTTATAGATAGATCTCTGTATGGACATAATAAAGATCTCTATAGATAGAGAGGTTTATCTTCATTATTTATATATATAAAAAATCTGCATAAAATATTGACCACACAGAGGAGTTGACGAGGGCACATTTAAAAGCGTTCAATATGAATACGTGTTGTCAGATCTTCACAAAAAAATCAGGTAAGAGGTAATATTCAGATTTTCATATTCTGCAGGCATTAGTCTCTTTTAGTACATTCCATACAGCCCGTACGCACCAATGCATATTAATTTAGTAGCACTTTACTGCTCTTTGATATTAAATTAAAATTTTTGAAGAGCCCGATGAGATCCAGCTAAGGTAAGTGGATGACACCTGGCACTATCACAACTGCAAGTACTCACATCCTGCACTCGGCTCACAGACCACTGCATGCTGGTTTATCCACTGAACTTTAAACACACATAGACTGATGGGGGTTATTCACCTTGGTTTGAAATATGAGGGATCCGTGATAGGCGGAGCAGGTAGGTGTGCTTTCTGTCTTTCGCGGGTCTCTTTGATTGTGCTCTGTAAAGCATTTACACCCAGGCCATCACACTATCCTGAATGGGCTAATGCCCACAGGAGATGTGTGGGCTTCAGGCTTCTCTTAGCTCATTTGAATAAATTTTCAGAGGCATTTATATTTTCTCTCATTCCATTTTCTCATAGAAAATTGGTTTTCATCTGTCTGTAAAATTGAATGAAATGGTGCATGTGGCGGCTGACCTTGCCAGCAGGGTCACGCTGGCATTATCAAATGAATTTTGCATTGTGTTATTTTTATGTGGATATATGTTTGTGTGAGGAGCACAGTTGTTATAGAGAAAGGAAATTAAGTGAAATTTGCATTTCTTGTTCATTTATATTCTGTTTACCGTTCTCATAGCATCTTCCTAATTGCACACATTTCGTTATGTGCTTCAGTGAAGTCCTGCAATTAAATTTGAAACAATTACAACACAAATTTACCAATAATTGCAGCCTAATTAATTACAAGGCAGCACATAATATAATCAGAGATTCAGGAAAACTTCTGTTTCATCTCAATCTTAATATTGGGATGTTCAGTTTAGCTCTGCATGGCTAAGAATATAAATTACCAGCATGACTGAAATTTATTGTAAAAGCCAATAAATATATACATATAAAATCTCTATATTCTTATTACTTTCTTATGCATGTTAAATGAGTGCCAGAACTAAATAACTGAGTAAACATTTTCAGTTGCAGTTTTAAATTTTAATTAAGCTATGACCAAATATGATAACTGAAGTTATAAAAAAAGGTTTTAGTATTAGCTATTCTGTTTCTCCTTAAGGTGTGTTTAAACAAAAATTGGAAAAGCTCATCTATTACCATGCGATTTCACATGCTTGTCGTCTTAGCGTTTATAATGAAAGTTTGGGTTGGTTTTCACAAAAAGCCCTGCAAGATTTGGAATGTTACAAAAACAGTCCATGCAAAGTTCTTACAGCAGACTGAAGAAAAGTTTAGTTAATAAACTCCCAAGGAAAAAAGCTTGATCATTTAAATTCAAAAATCTAATGTTGAATAACTGTAATAATTTCTTTGATTTGATTGAATTGTTACAGTTACATTGTTAAATGTCAGTTCTCAGGTAAACTAAACTGTAGTTGTACTAAACGGTATATGTATCCTCTTCTTTTAGCTGTAGTTCTTAATTATGTTTCTCTGTCTATGTAATTCACATCCCTTGAATATGATACTATGTCATATGTTTAGAGACCTTTGAAGATCAGGAGTCCTTTGAGCAGTGTCCTTGCTTTCAGCACGAATGAACTCTAAGCCCTCACAGAGACATTTTTTATGTTTATATGTGTGCTTCCCTCTGGGAATGCATAAACCCATTTTTACTTGACATTAGCCGGTTCGAAGACAAGTGCAAATATCTTATTTAAATAAGTGCCAAACAGCATAGATGAAGTGTGCGTCTGTGAGATTGGGCTTGTCTGCTCTTTGCAGCTGTATTACTGTTGTTCTTATGCTAAGTTGCTTTGGGGAGGATTGTGCAGTAATACGGGTGATGCGCAGAAGGCCGGTGGGTCTAATTGCTGTCATTTCACACGGAGAGAGCCTGTGAAGCTGAATCGTTGCTGCAGGCGCTGTAAAGCCTGGTTCACAGGTGGGACTACACAGACTCCAAATTAGAATTCTTTAAGTCTAATTGACATGGCAGCAATGTTGTGGTAGAAGTATCAAATTTGTTCTATTCATGAAAGGTCTTTGTGTATTTGCTCTCATGTCTGCTGCGAGTGAAATCATCCAGGCAGCTTGTTCCATTTAGCATGTTTAGCTTTAGCTATAATCTAGAAAAATGCTGTGGTAGCTGCTTACAGTCGTTTCTTCTTTGCCAAGAAACACGCCTTAGATACCATCACTCACTTGCTTCATTGTCACAGATGACCCTGAGTGTGATAGGAAGAAGAAAGCCTGCTGTGACGTGTTGATCAATACGTATTTCAAATCCCATTACGCATGCCATTGCACATCGGATGCCTCGTTAATGTAATTACACAAGTGGAACGGCCTCTTAAATTACTACAACCGTACCTTTGCTGACTTGCCACTGTCGCATTCATTCATACACTGTGATGTATTAAATGAAACGCAGAGAAAATAAAGTAAGTGTGCGCTGGTGGAAAACGCCGCCGGGTTTCTGTTCTGAAAAAAAAAATCACTATCCTGCTAGATAAACCACAATGTCAATATTTAGAAATAAATCAATATCGCTACCTCACAGACACAGGTGATTAAAGATTAAAAGATGGTAATCTACATGTAAGCTTCATGTGAGACTTTGTGTACAGGCTAAAAAACAAGTATGAACTGACCAACTCTTTATCTTAATTGTAGCATAAGTCACACAAGGTCACACATTTCGGTTATAAGCACTTCCTGCATTCTAACAGCCGCTCATCCATCACAAATCCCATCACCTTACTCTGTTCTCATTCAATGCTCTTTGACACAAAACTTCAAAGACTTTTTTATGAGGAAGAGAGGCAGTGTTTCAGGCATGCTGCCAGTTCGAACTGATGTTTTGTAGCTTGAAGTATAAAAAAAGCCAAGAAAGAAAGAAAAATACCTTTTTTTCCCCTTTTTTTCTGGAGGAAGAGTATGTTATGTTATTTATGGATTTAATACTGCCTCCAGTCTCCCAGTCTTCATATTTACAAGACACCAGTCCTATGCTAGACCTTATCTTAAATTGGGTGCACATTTCAATCAAACCGTTTCAATTTGAGTTTCAATTGGAATCATTTCGGATGATATTTCGCTTAAAAGATATAAATAAATGGGGGGGGGGGGGAACATTAGAATGTCAGTGTCAAGTGGCCTAATGTTGTATTTTTGTGTAATAGAAGAGTTTTGTTTGTAGGAATTTCCTCTGCTGATTAGCAGTCATGTTATGATGGAGGGGTCATTCTTTCTCAATCATTTCTGAAGCACTCTCCACAAATCTTTTCAAGCCACTTCAGACTGAAACAAGACTTGTGAAGCAGAAACAAATGAGATAATACAGGTAAAGTGAGACATTTTATGACATCATTGGTGTTGGTTTTCAAATGTGATTCATATGGCTTCATCAATACCTCACTATTTTACTGTAGGTAATCTTAAAGATTCCACTTAAAACAAAAATGTCCATTATGACAGACAAAACAATTGGTCCAATTTAGCCAAACTATCGTTGAAATACAAATGTATGAGGATGAATGACAGGGCCATAAAAATGGATGCACATTGGGAAGTAGATGTTAGATGTAATGGTGTTCTCCATTCATGTATAATATCAGCCTCCAAAACATGAACTTAATGCAGTTACCAGATGACCGTCAAATATACAGTGATCATTAGGTATTGAGGTATTTTGAAACAAGGATGAATGAAAAAATATTTATAAATTAATTAGTAAATGCTGTAAGAAAACGCGTGTTGCTAGTATATCTATTGCATGAACTAATGTTAGCGAATTTAACCTTACTGTAAAGTGTTCCTGAAAAATATACACAACATGATATGTGATTAAACCCAAGTGTTCCACTTTATCCGTATTCATCCTACACCTACAGTTTGCCAGTGTTTTCAGCAGATAATACAAACGATTTATGGTGGTGGTTATTTCCCAACATGTATTCAATTGGAGCAGTCTGTAATGGAGGACAGCTCAATTCATAGGGTTCAGAGGCATGGCTAACCCCATCAGAGCAGCAGACATTTTAGGATTGTGTCTGGGCTAAAGGTGCTGAATACTCAGACAGTTGGGGGATCACAATGAGTTCACCGTCGCCATTTATGTAGAGCCGATCATTGTTAATAAGATAATTTTCTCATTAAATTCCTATAATGAAATTAAAAAGTAATCAGCAGATGTCATTCATGCGTTTTGGGCATGGGGGTTTATCTTAGGGAAAGGCAAAAGGATTTCTTGATATGTCAGTCTAGCCACTGAGAGACACTTTAATCTCAAATGCCACTATGCCAGACCGATTCAAAATGTATTACCCACCTCTTCTAAATGGATTTAAACTGA